AAAAGTTTTCTGCCAGCGTCAATAATTAGTTGAATATTTCCTTCTATACTTTTTAGCACGTAGCTACTTATTATTAGCATTATTCTTAAGACGTCTGATTTCTTTTTAATTATAGGAAATGCGTTTTTCTAAGGTACATAAACTTTTGGGATTGACTGTATAGCCAAAACATCCTTAAAGCATGAATCAAAATTCACCGTTTTTTCTATTCTCGATTAGACGTTGACATCACGTTCGATGTTCCTCGACAAATGTTTGCGAAGGTATTCTGCCAATGGTAAACGAAGATTAAATAGATTCGAATAAAGAGGATAAGTAAAAAAAAAGATCGCATTAATTCGAGAAAGCAATATTTCGCCTCGCGAATTGTGTAAACATTTTAATCCGCCCACCGGCTCGCACCGGCTCGAGCAAAGTGCAGGCGAAGGAGCTCGCTGACCTCGCGCTGACATAATTTTACATAACGTCTTTTCGACGTGCGTATACAGTATCCGTTATTTTTCATCGGCTGATCCGACCAGCTGGCCTGCCTAAGGCGCAATGCTTATCCACTGATTTACAAATAAACTTTTGTCTGAAGAATTTGGGAAACGAGTTTAATTATGGAACTGACAAAGTGAATCGTTTCTTCTCTTGATATTTCATAGATGCCAAACGAACAACACCTTCAAAATGATAATAATACACTTTGAACGTATAAGATAAGAGGGAATTAGACGAATATCTCGTGCACTAAGCCTGTCAGTTGCGTAACAGTTTTAAACTGCTCGATAGAGCTTTGTGATTCCTATAGGTTTAAAACGTCGTTACAATGGTGTAAAAACCAGGTCGATGCCTTGAGCAGTTTTAACGGCAACCTATTTGTCATTTGGAGCGAGAGGAGTTAACGAGGAAACTGAATATTGCTTTGTATAACGGTTGACCGTGTCCACCTTGTTTTTCTTGGCAATTGTGAGAAAAATCTTGTCCAATTCGACCGAACAAAAATACGATCTTTTCAACATCGTGTAAGACATAGTATTACGTAATGATCCTGTCGAAGAGAAGGAGTTCTAATTTCGTCTATGAAGAAGTAAACGACCGATCGAACGGAGGGAGGGAGGAAAGGGACCGAGGATATAGTCGAGCCCGAATCCGCTTGACGAGAGGCCGAACGTTCCGCAGGGGGTTGCAGAGGCTGACACGAACGCAGGAAAGCTAATTGTAAGTAAAAGGGACACCGGCGCTAGTAAAAAGGTGAAGAGAGATGGGGAACGCGACTAGAGGGAATCGAAGTGATCCGAGACGACGAAACAGGGAGGAGGACGAAAGGGGGAGAAAGAAGCCGAGGGGGCAGTCGGCGTTGGGGGCAGGCAAGGGGAGGCGGGTGCGGCGGATATAGAAAACGCGGGACGGAGAGAAAACGAGTGAAAAGGGTTAGAGGAGGGAGAAAGCCTGGCGTAATGGAGGAACCAGTTTGCGGGTCAGTGCTCTGCATCAGCGGAGTGGAGCTTCAGAGGTTGTAGACGCGCGAGGACGATGCCACCGGGCGAAAGAAGGACGGCGAGGGACCCTGCGTTGGTCCTCGAAGTGACGCGAGGGAGCCACCAAGGGCCTGAGAGGCGGATAGAGGGGCCTGAAGGGCCTGGTGAGTCGCGATGCCTCTGACCAGCGTGAACTACGCGCGAGGGAGAGGATTCTCTCTCTCGCTCGGTCCTTCTCGGTCAGAAGGTTCCTCTTCACCAGGCTTCTGGCGCCATTTTCCTGCCGATCGAAACCAGCATCCTTGGCTGCCTTTTCAAAAAGAAGGGAGGCTTTCCACCCTCGTCACGGCGAGGGCGAACCTCCTCCTTAGTAGAGAGGCAGGATCGACGACAACATGCTTTTTCATTGCTACGGTCTCCCTGTGACCGCAAACCATAACGCCGACAACGTCGGTGTTTCCAACGCGATTGATTCCACTACGATGACCATCGTATTTTAAGGATCAGAGGAAAGGGTTGAGAAAAGTGTTTAAACGGATGTCAACTAAAATAATTACTGATGCATGACTCGTGTTCCCTTATATTTGAACAAAATGAAATCGTGAAATCTGTGCAGCTTTACTTCGTACGCTGATTCAATAAGTTCTACCGATCTTACGCACGGCGATCTTCGTAAGAAATTCAAAAGATAAAACAACCAGTGAATGGGTCAAGTCGACCCCCATTCGTCGCGCGACGCCGTCGCACGGCAGCGCAAGGCGGATACGCGATGAATAATCGCCAATTTATTCGCACGCTGGCAACGAAATTAGTAGCGTTGATGCACGTCGCCGGGCGTAGAAACGCGTGCTCGCTCGCCTTCGGACGGACGATACGGAGTGCGAATTAATTCACCGCTAATTCCACGTCTACCGGCTGGACGCGCCGCCGCCGTGCGGCTAAAACTTCATTAGCGCGTTTTGAGGATCCCTGGAGATCCGCGCGAATTCGTTTTGCAACATCGGACTTGCGAACAGAATCGATCGGCTTGACAAAGAATGGATACGGTTAAACGAAACGTTTGTCGTTCCATTTCTCGTCGTGTTTCCTAAAAGAAAATTAGTTGGATTTTCTAAAATAATGTAATCAAGTTTCTATTTAAACTGTGATTGTTACGTACTCCTTCTTACTACCGTTACTCGAAGAAAAAGAAACGAGCATAAGACAAACAATTATTTAGTTCCGTTTTCTATTTACTTTCGCGAAACGAATTTGGTTATTTAAGAGTGTGCGATGATGGAAAGTCGCTACTCGTTTTCCACGAATCATTTCGGGTAAACCGCGAAACAATTATTTATTTTGTAACCGAAAATATAAAGTACCGAGAAAAGCTGTTGGGAGAGAACGATCTTAGAACGGAGCGTATGAGACGAGAACAGAAGTCATCCAGTTTATAACTTTTTATGTAATCGTAATTGGATAAAAATGATCTCGCCTACTGGAGACGAAGAAAAACGTGGCTTGACCGCAATGACGTAAACGCTGCGTCGAATTACACGATCTATTAAGCACCGCCGAATCAAATCCAATTAATTGCATTAGATGATTAAGTTCGATTTCACGAGCTATCATTGGCTGCGAGCTAATTGCCCTCGTTAGAAGCGTCGAGACCATTCTCGTGGAAATAGAAGAAAGAGACAACTGTAGGATGACTATCAACCAGTCCAAGAATGTTTACGCTTTTTTCATTTTAATTTATTTGATAAATCATTATTCATGATTTTCTTCTTCTTTTCTTTTTCTTACATGACACGTTAACGTTTTGCATATTTTTACATACTACACGCACTTCGTACTTTTGAATATTTAAATTTCTGATAAACATTCGCAGGCCATTAATAATTTTTAATTTGCCATCCGATCCATCGTGAAAGCTAACCACCGACTTTCTTAGCCACGATTTTTCTGCAACGCTAATCAGAATGAACAAGCTGTCTGGTCGTGCTAAGTGTGCGTGGTTCTCAATTATGACGATTTCTAGCTTATTCACACTGTCTTCAGTATTGCCTGCTTGCTTATTCTCTCAGTCTTGCTAAATTATTAATCGATTCAATATACACTAAAGAGATTGTTGCCAAAAGAAGTTACAAGATGAGCAATACATAGATAAATAAATCTTTCATAATGGAGCAGAATTTTATGTAAGATAGTAAAATGTTACTAGGATAATTTGACAGAAATTAAATCCCTGTTTCATTCTTCAGCATGAATATCTCATAGCAAAACGAAATATTGTTTCGTAGAGTAATTCAGTGTAGAATTCCTCGAAGAAATTGAAATAATTGCATTAAGTAATGTAGGTGCCTCCGACCTAACTACTCGTTTATCTGCATGTATAACATACCCCGTTGGCATAAATATTCAACGAAACTTCTCGCCGAAGTTCTTCGTAACCGAACGGCGGCGGGAAGTTGCTAAAATAAACGAGTCGAACGAAAATAAAGTTACCTCTTCTCTACCTGTTACGTTTTAAGCGGAAACCCGCGGACGAGTGAATAAAATCGGAACGAATCGGCGATCGAGCGCCGGCGTACAGTGAGGGTCAGAAATGCACAAGGCAAATCAACAGTTACACAGAATACTAAATCTATTTATGGAATTTATTAAAGTATTTATATTTGTTATTCATTTCCTGTTAAAAAATCTTCATAGATTTTCTATGCAATATCGAAATTCGAGTTTAGCGAATGAAGTTATGCAAACATTTTTTTAAATGAAACATAGGAATAGGAAATTTGTTTGGAGCAAGTAAATAGGTGCAAGTACTTACTTTTGTGTCGCGTAAGTGGTTTTCGCGAATGGTGACACAGTTTATTCTAAACGCGATAAATCAACAGTTCGATCGATCGATTGTTCCCCGCGTCTCGTTTGCGTAACGAGAATCGCAATCCAGTTGACAATCGAAACACACCTTGCTCGCGGGGTTACGTCAACGCCGATTGTTATTTAGACCGTTGACCATTGTCGGTCTCGCTGCAAATGCGTTTCTGCTAATGAATCGCGACGAATCGAAACAATAAAATTGGAACGAAAAGATTCAATTGAACCGTTTGACGTCGCGCGTTTCACAGCCGCCGTTTATGTAAAATTTGTTTGCTTCTAAAAGCATAGAGGATTGGTCGATTCCCATGAAATGTCGTTCAAGTCTAACATACACGATTGGTATACTGTTAATGTACAGTTCCGAGCGGCTATAAAAGTTCATATTTCGTACAGAAATTCAATGAAACATTCCTTTTATTAGAGAATGTAGGATTAAAATCCAAACGCAGTTTTAATAATTGTGACGTTTGAGTACATCCAACGGGAGGGTGAAATTTCTAGTTGATAAAATGAAATCCTCAGTTATGTGAAACTATGCCTAAATCTTCTTTTGATTACTCATCAAATTATCATCAACTTTCACTCGTTCATTCACATAATCCAGTTATACGTTTTACGACGTATCCTAAGAGTCGTAAAAACGATTCTGTGTTCTAATAAAAGGGACGCACTTACCCGTCGCGGATTGGGTTTGCAGCAACAGCCCGATCAGCGATACCAAGACGTAGGTGTTGTACCGGGGTGCCGCGATGCCCCGTCGCAGGGTCGTCATCTCAGGCGGCCCCCGCCAGGTGCCCCCCTGAGCCGCCGGTGCCCCTGCGACCGCCTTCGGCGACGGCTTCGACTTCCCAACTTCCGCCTTCGCTCCCGCCAGCTCCACGCCGCGTAGTCCTCGTGCTTCACATCTCATCTGCCACGCCGCTGTCTCTTCCTCTCCTCCGCGGTGTGGCAACCGTCTTACGTACCCCCCCTGACAATCTCTTTGCTCACCGAAATCACGTATGTATTTACCGCGTACCAGATCGCCACCTCCGCCACCGCGTCATTTACACACCGCTTTTCCGGTGAAACGTCACTCTCGTTCTATTCTCTGTTACGAATTTGAATTCTCACGTATTTAATACCGCGGACGCACTCGGTGCAAACAACAACCGGATAGAACTCTGTTTCTAAGAGTCTTCTCGTCAATTTACCGCGTCTGCCTCTACGTAAAATTTATCACAGGACCACGCGAATTTCATTTGTCAACGTTTCTCTGTCAGAAGGATCGATCCGACGATCATGTCAGATACCGTAGAAACGATTCACCGATCTAGAGTTCCCTGTACGAAACAGTGATCCGATCTTTAGTGACGAGGACGATAACACGTCGGTTTATCAGGTGACGGTCGGCCGTCGCACCGGATCCACGGTTCCCGGTGAAATTTCACGTCCGGCGAACGCGAGACCCGAGAGAAACTAACAGGAGGCACGCGTCGCGTCGCGTTGCCCGTTCTGGAGCAGCGGATCACGTGTCCGACGAAGGAAACTCACTGAACATATCACAGAGTCCAGCGGAGCAAGCGGCGGGCCACCGCGCGACCGAGAGGGGAAAGGGCGTCCGAGGAATCGATTCGAAACACCTGTAGAAGAGCGACGTGTTTCCGTTCCGTTTCGTTCCGGCGAGCGATCCCTGAGAGCGCCGCCGCCGCGTCGTCGCTCCGTGTCCTGTCACCGTGCACCGCACCGCCGGCTTTCGCGTACGTACTTTCTCGCGAACGAACCGCGTACAACAGCCGCCGTATCTTATTCCGTTCGAAGAGACACGCGTGCCACGGAGCGCGTGTACCGTCTCATGATCGAGGGACGCACGTCATCACCCGATACACCACTCGCGTGTCAGCATGCTTCCTCGTCGTTCCTCTTCCTTTTTTCGTTTCGCAGCGAGAACTGGCAATGAACGGGACCGCGATTATTCGCGGGAACACGTGGACACGATGAGAAGGCGCGAACCGGAGCCGGCTGCTCCTCGACCTGCCTTACTCACTCGGATCCTCGTAGATCGTCGGCCGAGGAGTGACCAACGGCTCGCCGCGCCGCGTCCAATTTCCTCGCGAGTATTCTTTCGGCGGCGGGCCGACTCCGTCTGTCACGTATTGCACGCGTTCGCTCGGTTCGCGTTATAGCAGTACGCGTTCCTCCTCGGGCTTCTCGAGCCCGAGCGCGGGTAAGTTTCGCGTGGCGCGCGAATTCGTCGAATAGAAACCAAGCCAGCGCGCACGAGGCCGCCCGGCAGACTGAGAGTAGCAGTCGACAGTCGGCAGGCAGCAGCGGCAGCAGCAGCAGCAGCAGCAGCAGCAGCTAGCAGCAGCAGCAGCAGCCAGCAGCCAAGCAGCAGCAGCAGCAGCAGCAGCCAGCAGCAGCGGTATACAAGCCGGGAACGTTTCCCCGTGTGCCGAGCGAAGCTCTGCAAAAGCGGTCTGCACACGCGGCCGCGCTCTGTTATGTTATGTCCCCACTTCCCTTCTTGAAGCGCGCGATCGCGGCTGCGGCTGCGGCACCGGCACCGGCACCGCCGATGGCTCGCCTATCTGCCTCGCCTGTATGCCTCTCTATGCCTTTGCCTCGCCTTTGGCTCTCCTTGCCTTGGCTCGCCAGCCTCCTCTGTCTCTGCGCGTATGCCTGCCTGTTTATCCGCCTGCTCGTCTCATGCATGCATGCATGCGTGCATGCACGCTCGTTCTCCTTCTCTTTCGAGACCACCTCCTTCTACTCCACCTTCTCGATACTCCTTCTCCTCGACCGTCAACTCCTACTCCTCTTCCTCTTCTCCTTCTACTTGTACGTACGCTTCTTACGTCCTCCTGTCCTTCACCGACCACCAGCCAGCCTTCCTTCCTTCCTCGTCCTTCCTCGTGCACCACGCTTGCATTCTCCGCTCCCGATCCTCCTACGCATTTTCCTTCTTCCCTCTCTTCGACCCTTACTTTCGACCCTTTCTCTTCCACTGTTTTTGCGTCCGCTCCTCTCTTCCTCTTTCACCTTCTTCTGCGGTTCCTCGCTTTTTCGTCCTTCCTTTCTCTTTGTCGGGGCTTCGCCGTCCGACGACGCAATCCTTACTTCCGGTATTCGCGTTCGAACGAAAGGAAGAGGAAAGCCGCGCGAAATTCGATTCTAGGCCGGACCCGCCGTCCTGTACCTGATCCGGTCCGGTCCGGTCGGCAGACGGAGGTGGATCGAGATCGGGATCCAGATATTTTTTGCCCGTTCCGCGATATTTATAGTACACCCGTGTTTCTATTTGTTTCGGATGCATAAATTGTGTAAGGTCTATTCATTTCAGCGTACAGGGGCAACAGAGAGAGAAAGAGGGTTGAAGAGGGAGAAAAAGAAAAGTAGACGAGAAGTTCCTTCTTTGTTCCCCTCCTCGTCGAGGGTCGTTAACTCCGCCGATGACGGATTTTTCGGATTCTTTTTGCGCGCCGCTGGAAGGGGACGAAATCGTGGCAGCGACGAGTGAGACAATTCCCTTCGCGTGACGCGTTCGAAGTATATAAACGTGTGATCATTGCGTGAACGTAATCGATTAATCACGAATTTTCTTGAGAATCGAAATCAACAGGAATGTTCGGTACAACGTTTTCCTTGAATATCGATAATCCTATGTAAAGTATAATTCCTTGTAAATGAATCGCGATACTTTTGTTTTATAAGCCGCACTAGAGATAAGGACCACGTGCAAACTTTCGAACAACCGGTAAGAAAAAATAATCGTTGTTCCCTCGTATAGAATCGGCTTCCACTCGATCTTCCTATCATTTCGTCCCCACCCTCCACCGGCTACGACCTGATGGATTGAGACGTTCCCTCTCCGCAAATGATACTAACGGTAACGAGTGGAAGGAAAACAATGGGAGTCGGCGATCAACAAAAATCACGTTTCTCGCTCCTTTCACTCGGTTTCGGTTTGGTCTCGCCGGTTTATTTTTTCCGTCCGCTGGTCGCACTCAATGGGCCCCGTTCGGTTCCTTCGCTTCTTCGTCCCGCGCGTAACGGTTTAACGACGGTCATTACTATTTTTACCTTGGGATTATTTTATGGCCCGCGATAGAATCCCGAGAAGTGTCGTTAAAAAATTGTTGCGCGTAAACCATTAAGAAGAACCTCGGTTGCATCCTTCTATCATTCTTATTTCAGAACTCCTTTTTCTGGGTCGAACACTCCGATCTTGTTCCACCGTCTCCGCGTACCATTGACAATTTTATTTGGCCACCCGATCGGATCACTGTCTCGATATTTTTACATCACAATATCTTCTTGATTTGAAAGATAATGGTAAAATATGTAGCAGTAAACGAGTGAAGTCAGGTTTGTTCTCATTATTAAATTGCCACTATCAAAACACATGAATTCACTAGTGATAGCATGCAACACCAGTAGATAAAGAAATGTCTTTTAAAAACCGTACATGAGACTTGATTGGTGTATTATAATCAGAATTTGTGGAAACTCAAGGGAGAAGCAAATGTAGTGTTCTGTTCTTTTGGATCAGTAAATTAAAGACGTACTACTTGAAAGCAACAAACGAAAATGCATCAAGTGACACAGCTACAGAAATCGAGTAGCAAAGACAGAAGGGTAAGGGGAAGAGACTCATCCCCCCTGTCGTGTCGTCCTTTCCAGTGAAGGGTTAACGCTTACCGAGCACCCTCAAACCGGCGAACGCCGTTGCGTGAGTACGTTTTTACGAGGCAGACGGGTACGCGAGTTCTTTTCGGTGTCCGCTCGCAAATTATACTTGCTTACGTATATCAAGTCACACGGTCACCGATTTTATTACCTTTTATTATATTTTCGAGAGTGGCGAACGTCAACGGCCACAGAATCGCGCCGGGTTTCGAAATAAACGATTGATAAGCGAGTAGTTCATCGAGTGCGTGACGGAACGGGGAAACGGAAGACGCGACGAGAACGGCGGACGTACGGTTGCGGAAGATTCGCGATTCGGAAGAGGCGACCTTGCCTCCGTCCCGGTGGCAAAGTGCAATAGTAATTGGTGGATGCACCGGTGGCACGTCTCTCTTTTATACCGGGCACCCACGAGAAAACGGTACCGCCCCCTTGGCCACGTGACGATACCTTTGCAGCCGGACCTACCACGCGCTTCTTGCAGCGCATCCCCTTCAAACGGTACAACTAGCATCCCCACCAGCAGGACCAGCACCCTTCCTTCCTTCCTTCCTTCCTTCCTTCCTATCCGTTCGTTAATCTGTCCTTTCTTCCTCCTGTTTCCTTTTCCCGATTTTGTTTAAGTATCAGTCTCTATGCACTTCGCGCTGACAAACCTGAGAAACAGGGATACGAAAATGAAAAGGACAAAGGGTTGAGGTCGAAGAACAGAGATCAGATTTTTGATATAAGAAAGTCTTTTATTTATTTCAGAAATTTATTTCAATCAGCGTATGGATGTTTATTACCGATTTAATCGAAGTGCATAATTTGTATGAAAATCAATTAGGAACGCTGCTCGGTAGACACAGAATGCCTGAGTTATCAAAAGAACGATAAAACCTTAACGTTTGCAATAAAATTGTAGGACCGCGCGTAAACCAAACTATCAACGATCTCGAGTGCTAAGTGAAGTACGATGATCATAAAAATTTTGAGGATTATCTTTGTAACCTCTTCGAGGGAAACGTTTCTTCTTCTCTTGATAAAGAGACCGAATCGCGTTACGCACAGACTATCGGTGAAGTTTCTTCGCAGACCATGGGGATGGGATAAATAAGAGAATGTCGAAACCTTGGACTGTGTCACAAAGTTGCATTCGAAGATAAACACAGGTTGAACGAACCCATCATTTTAATACACCCTCGCCGATGAAATTTCTCGCAGATTATACCGAAGGGGGTGGAGAAGTGGGGAATTTCTTTTCACGGTGATCCATCCACCTTTTATAGCGGAACTTGAGAAATCTCAATACGATCCTGTCTGGTCCTTTTTTTCTATCGCTTCTTCTTCTTCTTCTTTTTCTTCTTCGTTAGCATTCTTGAAGGAGATCTCCTCGATTCGGTAGGGAAACGAACGTTCCTTTTAAGATCCCCTGTCTAGACGCGTTCTTTCTCTTAATTCGCCATACTCGCCGTAGTTCTCTTCATTACGTAACGTGGCACGTATAATTACACTTACACACTCTTCTTCGTTCTTTCGATACAATTTTTATCTTGCCTGTCATCAAGATCCACATAATAATTCATATTACCTCATTGAATTTTACATACAACGTAAAATTAATATTAACATTCGATCAGTAATATCGAACTTAAGGAGCTATCGATTCATCGAGTGAGACGATTCGCCGAGCGAAGTGTCCATCGAAGGCGCCGCGACGAGGGATAAAAACCGAGCGAAGGGTTCAAAAAGCGAGGGGGAGGACGGGGAGAAACGATAGATCATTGCGGTCGGTCCTTGGACTGGACGGAATCGCGACAGGTGGCGAATATCTAAATAGAGGCGAGGCCGTTCCTCTTCGTCCTTGTTTCCGTCGTCGCGTCGATCGGTCGAAGAATAGAACGAATAGCCTGCGAGTCAAGGTTAACTCTCGCGCGACCGGATGCACCGGCCTAGCCTCGTTCCGGCGATCTCCTTCCTTTGTGCATCACCGCCATTCATTCTGATACGGTTCAACGAAGGCCAGTTAACTCGTTCGTGAGAGATGGAAATCCTCGATCCGAGATCCGCCGTCGTTTCTCTTGATTTTATGATATCCCTTTAAACACGAGCAACAACCGGTGAATTATGCGATTCGCTGGTTCGATCTCTTCTATCCCTTGTTCTTAGGAATCTACTATAATTGACTTTCGAATAATGAATCAGATAGGATTAGACTGTTAATATAAATAAATAAAAGCTGTTAAAATAAACAAGAACTTAATAACAGATTTAGTTAGAAAAATGATATCAGTAGATAAGAGCACGCAATACGCCCGATTAAGTGACACACAAACTTCTTCATCAACCCATTAACCACCCCTTTCCAATCGCTACCAACAACTATCCACTTAGAACGTTTACTATCTCATTCATTCAAAGCTACTGCCTATTTAAATTATTGTGCCATAACACAACTTCCGGTTTCTATCGAAATCTATCGTACCTTATATTACTTAATCGCTTGAGAACCAAAAAGTCACGACGTATGAGACGAATAAATGCCTCTAATCTTTAGTTAATTCATTTAGATATATTTATTATTATTTCTACTTTAAGTAAGGAAGGACCAGCGTTCCTTTTTCAAACAACACTCC